TAAATTACACATTAACATTAATAATTTGCTGATGCGTGTATAATATATCTTCATAATATAATCACTATCCATGCATAGATTGAATTTGTAATAAAGGTATTGTTAAACGGACCTTCAATAATGGCGTCGATTCACCAGACAGCATCGCCTCATTCACAATACAAGAACCTTGTAAAAGTATCATATCACAAGGAACACCACTATCTTCCTTGGAACGAACTTCACAAATAAATTTGACATAAGTGTATGAGAAATAATGATAAAAAAGGGCAATACAAAGTAATTCTGATATCATGTACCGATAGACACTAAATCCCCCGGTAAAAGCTGATCAGAGTCGATAGGAGTCCAGCGGCGATTTCGTCTAACATGGATCTGGTATGGCTTAATTGACATAGTACGAAACTCGGCCAAAGTTTTCAATCTCTAAAAAATAAAGATCATTTTGGACAAGTATCATTAATATCTGCAGAAAAAACCAAGCCTATAAATAAACTTAAATTATATATAATACCTGAAAGACGACAGTAGATTCGAACACTACAAGCATGAATAGTGTAAACACCGAATAGTACCAATATTCATCCATAACCCACAATCCAACACAAAATAATTGAAAAACAAAGAATGGCGCAACGGCATGTTCTTTGAATAATTCGGGAAAAGTTGGCACAGGAATATCGAATCTAAAAATTAAGAAACCTTAGTTATATTGTAGTTTCTAAATGAATTTAAGATATTTTGGCGAAAGAATAATCCACACCTATTATATCCATATTTCTCGTAAGTTAATTTAATTTCATTTTGAGTTTCAAGACCTTTAGCATTTTGAAATGTTGATAGTTTAGAGTATATATCACATGGATAAAGTAGCTTTTTAAAGTTCTTTTTATTCTCATCCCACAAATATTTCTTCTTTTGATAAAAAAATGATATTTCCCCATTCTAAATAAAAATACTTAAAGTTAATATTTATCCATAATATAATGCATTAATGTGATATTTGACTAAACTTACTTTTCCATGATGTAGGTCACATAATTCACCCTTTCCTTTATGTTGGGCAGGAATTATTTTGATGACTTTAGCTTTCCTAACATCATTTTGCTTGGAAAATAGTAAAATAGTTGCATGACATTCTAAATCTGAAATTTAATAATAAATACCAAATAGATAAATGATATCCTACTGTTTTGCAAGTAAAAAAAGCCTTTGCCCTAACGCTCCACTGACAACTCAAAAATATTAACGCATTTGTTGTGATTAAACTTCCAAGAGTTAAGAATGTCCATTCTTCAGACACGATAAATTCATCGTATGCATGGATAGTGATTATATTATGAAGATATATTATACACGCATCAGCAAATTATTAATGTTAATGTGTAATTTA